TTGACCCGCGTAAGCAACTAACTAAGGCTGATTTTAAAGTCTTCCCCCGGGGGGTTCTCACTAATATTCGCTGGAGTAATACCATTCAGTATCGTGGGCGCGTAGAAATCTCACTTCCCTGCATTCCGCGCTCTCCGTTATTTCCAACGGCAGCCATCGTCAACGCGCTTCGCTTTACAGCCTCGGGTTCTAACAGGTGCTCTCAGGCACTTAACTGGTCGGACGACCGCCAGCTTGTTCACGGTTTTTCACAGGACGAAATCACATGTTTCCGTATTTCTGAAACGTGGCGGAAACATGCAACTCCATGTTTCCGTTATGTTTACGTAAAAGTGGTCCGGTTCCGTTGTATACGCAGCAACGAAAACGCGAGAAAACGTCACGAAACCGGTAACGGAAACACAGGTTATCCGTCGTGTTTCCGGAACGGTTTAACATGTTTCTGCCACGTTTCCGTTTACGGATTCTTGCAATTTCGTCCTGTGTTTCCTGTGGATCTTTTGCTTCCTCTCTGCGCAATCATCTTGCATCGCTCGGTTTTGACCCTAAGCTTTTCGCGGGGCACTCCCTTCGCAGGGGTGGGGCATCATTTGCTTACCAACGCGGTGTTCCCATTGAACTGTTTAAGACTCTCGGCGAATGGCATTCCGACACCATTCTCATCTATTTAACCATGCCTTTAACAGGTCGGCTTCATTCCGCTTACATGCTTTGTAAAGCCATCCTACGACATAACCCACTACACCCTCACACTAACTAAGACTTCCGCTCCTCCTTTTCTGAGTTCGGGCCGTTGGTTTAGTGTATTCGTCCCATATCTTAGTGATGTAATAGTCTAGCGTGTTATTTACGTAGGATTTATACATTTAATAAACTGTCTCGTCCCAAAACAAGCCTCTTTCTGTTGTGGTGTTTAGGTGAATATTAATTTCTATTAGTATGAATCTAGACATCGATAACTGAGAGGCCTAGACTGGGTACAGACGGGGTGCAAATAAGTAATTTCTCTTTTCTTTAAGATTGAGCAATTTGTTCAGCATATAAGTCATCAGACTTGGGTAGAGATAATGGCTATTCATGCATTAATTGCGGAATTACTTTAGTATTACCGCTTAGGTATCTGTGCACGTGTTATTAGTAATCTAGCAAAGAAGCAAGCAACAAGTTTATTTCTAGCTTTAAGAAAGTTCTAGTTTCCCTCCCACCCACACCATCGACAGTTTTGATTGTAGCTTAATCTCATTCGTTTCTGTAATCTATTCATGCTTGATTACTGGACCATTGGTTTAGTGTATTCGTCCAATATCTTTGTTATGTAATAGTCTAGGGTGTTATTTACGTAGGATATATACATTTAATAAACTGTCTGGTCTAAAAACAAGCCTCTGTCTGTTGTGGTGTTTAGTTTTATGGTCAACCCATTTCCATTCTTATTTCATATGGAAATGAATCAAACTTGATTTGGTGACCTGTAAGTTTTTTTTCTGCTTATATCTTAACATAATTTAGTTTGACGTTCATTGCAAGTTGCTTGGAAAGAAGTCTCGTTTGAGTCAGTTCTTTCTTTCAACAAACGATTTTGATCACAAATGGGAAAGAAGATAGTTTGCCAGCACCAATTTTTTTGGAGAAAGAGAGGGAGTTTTTTTTCAATAATTTCTCATCTATTAACTTATAAATTTATTTGAATGTGTATTTCTGCATTTTTTTTGTATTACTTGTTTCAAGAATTTTGTACATATAATGTATTGATTCTGCCACATGCAGATCTGTTAAATGTTTGGATTTAGTTTAAAAATTAAAAAGCCGTATTCTTAGAAAGTGATTTCAAGGTTTTAAAGTAAGTCAGCCTTTGATAATGTTAGTAGTGAAATAGCAACAAGTTTATGTCAAATTTTGGAAATGAAACTTTACTTAAAACATCAGTTAGAAAGGTTATCAGAGATATAAAAGGGTATGAATAATAAAGAGATGAACCACCTTCCAGCAATGATTTAATATGTACTGTAAAGGATTTATTATTTAGGAAAAAGATTTGGCTTTGGTAAGAATCAAGAATGACTCTTTTATTTCAAGAGCTGGGAAAGAAAGCCAACTGTAGAACGACCAGAATTTAGTGTGATGTTTATGCTGCCCTAAATCCTGAAGCTTTATCAGTTTCTTGAGGAAAGACTTTGTTTTAGCAGCCAACCTCTCCTTAAGTATAGAATGATGTGTTGTGTCATCAGGTTGGTAGGTAAAAAGTAGATTCAAAGTTTTTTATTGAGCTATAACAGGCTAAAAGGGTTGTTTTTTTTACCCCCAGTTTCCTAGATATTTTAGAAAAAATTGAAAGACGTACGAAATGAGGAAATTACCCTCAGAATGCAGTATATAACAGACAACCCAACTATAACTCCCAATTTTATTAGTAATTCTCTCTAATAAAGATGAATTGTCCGTTTCATTTTGTTGTAATATTATCGAATGAGTGTTGGTATGTATGGCTTATCATTTAATCGCATTCCAGTATCGTACCCATTTAACCCCCAAAGGACGTTGTCAGGCATACTCGTTAATCCACCGTCCCGCATTCCACTGACTGCATCACTGCTGGTAAATTAATCATGTGACTAAATTAATCGAGAATTACACAGCCACCCATAGCAATATTTTCTCTCACAGTCAGTGCGGAAGACTGAGCTGACTTCCTACCGAGGGAGCGTTTGCATCAATCATTGGTTAAGTTCCATATATATCCAGCTCGTAATCATGTCCTCGAGTGAATGGTTCACCGGCTAAGTTGTGGTCATTGCTTTTAGAGGCTTTTAGCAGTGGAAACCAGTAGCAATAATCAGCAACACGTGTTTATACGTGCTTCAGAAATCAAAGGTATTCGATTGACGAATTACTATTTCTGTACGTTTCAGGACCTGTTCGATGCCTCTTTCAGATATAAAGATCCTCTTATTATCTTCCAATGTGTACATGTGGGTTGTCTTTAAGCTATCGTGAGAAAACATGCAAATTTGAAATCTCAGATTCCCGCGCGGCCGACTGTCAATATTTTCAAGTCGGATTTTCCGTTACTTTCCGATTATTTTAGACCTTCTGGAACACAAAAATTAAAGCTAAAAATGCTATAGAATAATCTGCTTCGAAAATAATGGATATCAAGGTCTTAAAAGCGACAAAATAAGCTTTCGAGTCGATAATACTGCGATTCTCTGAAGCGATGCGAATTGAGGCTGTAAAGTGAAACCGAACTTTTCGGACTTCAAGCGAGACCTAGCGATATTATGAAGATTCCAGGGTTCGGTAAATATCATGTTTAAGTACTGAGATGACCAAAAAGTACTGTTTAATCGAAAATTTTTTTGTCAAAACGTAGAACTCTCAGAATTTTCAACATAACGCTGCGCAATTTACTAGCCGTGACGTCTATAGTAAACAACGAGCTAAGCATGATGAACTCTACTTCGTGGGTTTCGTACTCGTAAAATTCGTACTTTTTTCGCTTCTAACGGAAAATTAACAACTCTTTTGAAGAAAGCTTTCTTCCCGAAACGTTCCTTGGTCAGTTTCGTCTTGCTTATTTACAAATTCCATTTAACATGATATCTGCCAAATTTGCATATTCACTTTACAATCCGGATCCGCATAACTTGTTTGCACACATGCGGAAAATTTTAGCGATGTTTAGTGTAAAAACTTAATAAGCATCTGTCGCTTTTTTCATTGAAAGTAAGTTATTTAAATGGTCTTCTTTCATTGGAGCTTGGTTTTGGGAAATGATGATTTATAAATATTTACTGCGCATTGTGTTTGCTTTTCCGGTTTCTCCAAAATTTTAACTTTTGGATAGGCACGCTTTACACGTAGGTGCTAATGGGTTAAGGTACATTTTCAACACCAAATTAAGGTGGAATTGGACGCTAAATTTAGTGAATTTTGTTTCAAATCATTTATGAAATAACTACAGACGGATTTGTTAGAATGACTTGAAATTATCACATGGGATACATGATTCTACACATAATCTGAAGAGAAAATTTAAATTGTATTTTGCTCAGTGCCATGTGAAGCGAACTCCTCGGTTGATTATGCTTTAATTACAACGATGAAACAGTTCTACAGGGTGAAACACAGTATAAATACGCTGAATGACAAGAACAATAAAGCTAAACGCAATAAAGAGTAACGAATTTACGATAATAAGTGCAATCAGATTAATCCGTCCATGCGAAACGAGTTCAAGTGTTTTTAAAACAACATGGCCGACTCTCCACTCGTCACCAGTCCTGCCGAGCCGTCGGTATATGGCCAGCGGTTGGCCAGCGGTAGTCCCTTCACCATGGATATTGGTGAAATTTAATGGAATTAGGGGGTGTGTTTGAAAAGTCATTGTGGAGAAAAAAAATTTCTAAATCCAAGCCATTTTTAATTAATACCACTCAATGGTTCGGCAAAGACAAAAAACGGATGGTAATAAAGATTTTCAGTGCAGTCTGCTAAGTAATATTCGATTTTGACAATTTAATTATCTCATACCTTGTCATTTGTTTTTGGCAGACAGTGGCATACTGTGCTGTAATTGTTCTTTGTCATGCAAAGTTTTAGTTTGCATAGATTCTGATCAAAGTACTAACCTTCCTGAGATAATACAGTTGGAGAGGCGATTAATTTGTAAAAAGTGGCAATAGGAACCACAAAAATATGATATGGTGTGGGAATTTGATAATAGCAACTTTCAATTTAACATGGTGTGACAAAATTAAAGGTGTGGTTATTGGCTGCTTTATGGTTGTGATGCTTTCTGAAAATTGGAAATATGAGGGAAAATTCTTTGAATAAAAAGGATAGCAAAAATAAATGTGTCTTTGTTGCTTGGAAAATGACTAAATAGTTAGCTACTGTTAATCTCTTTTCTGAGTTCCATCCATGGTAAGATCATAGTACTTTATTTTTCATTATGAAATGGTTCCTTATGAAATGGATGTGTCACAAAATGTCATCTATAGGAAATACAGCAAGAATGGCAAACACCATTAGACCAGGATCTTATCTCTATTTGCAGCAAGGTTTGTCCTTGGAAACAACTTCTCATTTCAAAAATGGGCCATTTTCCAATTGTCAAATCGTGCAAATAGGCAATTGAAACAATGATCTTAAATTAAAGCTTCTCCAAAAGGTCAAATTAGCCTCCAGTACTGCCTTAAGTGGCCTCAACAACACTCTAAAAGGAAATAGAAAGCCTAATTGGACTCAGTAAACTCACATTTTGTATTGTTTTTTTTCCAGGGTAATTTTTCAGAATTAAAAGCTACCTGTGATGTCAATGATACAGAAGGTAGGAAGAGAAATCTAAATCTACTACAAATACCAACCTTTTATTTTGACAAAAACATTAATTTGCCCCTTGTTTTCTTTTTCACCTAAATCTTTTCAGTGTGACTAAAAAAGTCATGTACCAATTTCAAAGTGAGTTGCAAAGAAAGACCCTTTAAGGATAACTTTTACTTTCAAATTTAATTCCTTGTACAGCTGTAATTGTAATGGTTGTTATCAGTGACAGTGACAGTGTAGTCATCTCTAAAGTAACTTAATATTTTCCTGGTTTAAATTTGTCTCAATCTACATGTACCTGACTTTTTGGCAATGGATAAAACTTAACTGCAGTTTTACAAACGAATTGACATTACATACCAAGTGGACATGCATTATTGTGATTTAATATTGTTTTACAGCTTATTATTAATACCATTCTTGTTTTGTTGTTGTAGGATTTCATGATTCCAAGTGTGGCATGTTCATCACAGGAAGACCAGGAAAACATGATGCTGGAAGTCACTTTGCTAAGTAGTGAGTGGAAATCATCAACTGATGGGGACTTGTCAACTATCAACCGAGAGCTGGCCATCCAGTTAGCTAAACGCCATAATGTGGATGTTAGTGTCTTGCTTCCAAATTGCAGTGAAGTGGACAGGAGCAGTGCAGAAAGTCACAAAGTGAAGCTCATCAAAGCAGATAAAGTTCCTGGTTATGACCCAGTTCTTTGCCTGTCATTTCCTCCAAGGGACCATACAATGGACTGTGTCATTGGTCATGGAGTTCACCTTGGCCGACCAATTGCTTCCATCAAGAGAAATCCAAATTACAGTCATTGCAAATGGATTCAAGTTGTTCACTCTGCACCTGAAGAAGATGGAAAAAACATTTCAGAAGGTAAACAGATGCAAGAAACAGAAATCCAACTCTGTAAAATGGCTGATCAAGTTATCACAATTGGACCCAAGCTGGCAGAAGCTTACAAGCGTTACCTTCGTCCAGTTAAACAGGAAGAAAAAGTTTTTGAACTTACTCCAAGCATTTTCTCTGAATTTTTGGCTGTAAAGCAAGCCCCTGAAGAAAGAAGAACATTCTGTATTCTTGTAATTGGAAGTGGTGAGTACTGTGGAGATTTCAAAGGGTACGACATAGCTGCCAAAGCAATTGCTGAGTTGAAAGATGAATCTTACAAACTCAAGTTTGTCTGTGCAGCTGGAGGAAAAGCAGATATTGTGGCAGAAAAGTTACTCCATGATGGCATTAGTCATAATCAGCTTATTGTTCGCAGCTTTGATGATGACAGAGAAGTGCTGGCAAACTTATTCTGTGAAATGGATCTTGCAATAATGCCATCCAGGACAGAAGGTTTTGGAATAACGGCTCTGGAAGCGTTATCTGCTGGTCTGCCTGTACTTGTCAGTGGTAATTCAGGACTCGGAGAAGCTCTGAAGAAAGTCACTTTTGGCTCACAGAGTGTGGTAGACTCTGAAGATCCTAAAGACTGGGCCAAAGAAATCAAGCGTGTTCACCAGAAAGAGAGAGTCGTGCGACTTTCAGAGTCAAATCTTCTACGTGAAAATTACTTGGAGAAGTATAGCTGGGAGGAGCCTTGTAGGAGTCTTGTGATAAAGATGAAGAACCTTGTCTTCGGTAAATTTACTTAAGTTTAAATGTTTCAGCTTAAACTGGTCTAATAACTGATAAACCAGGTAGTCTGGTAAAAAGTTGAATCAGCCTTGAGTCAACTTGGACCTATAATAATCATAAATTCTTTATAGACCTGAATCAAGTAAGTAATCAAAAATGGTAAATACTCAGGAAAGGTAAAGTTAATTGCTATGTAATAATCTTACCCAAAAGGTTAGGAACAGTGTCGCAGAGTTTTTTAAATATGTACTTGGTAAAGTGCATTTGCATGGGAAATACTTTCTGTAGTTATTTTACTTAAGACATAAAGCAGGTACTGTTGAAAGTTGAACAAGCACGGTCAACTTGGTTGGTGTCTTTTTTTTTAGACTCAGTACTATTATTTTTATTAGTAACTGAAACATTTAGTGGTAAAGTACAGTACCTTTAACTTTAATTCTCCCGCTAGGAGGGTACTCTGAGTTAATTTATGACACTTTTCAGGGAGCTTTGGCTGGAATGCTCAGATAAATTATTTTTTCTATTTACTGCCTGTAGGTCAAGCTCTGCACAGCTCTCTAGACTTTACATTGCATGTTACATTCAGGAATAAATTACGATAAGAATGTAACTGTCAAGAAAATTGTGAGAAACAAATCAATGAATTAAATATGCGACAGACAAAGTTATTATTTCATTTCAAAAGTTCTTATGTCATTTAAAGCCTCCTCTCGCAAAATTGATTTTAAGGACAGAAAGTAACATTGAAACAATGTGGAAGTGAGGTAGCACAACAGACATTAAGACATCCATCATTTCTACTTTTTTCTTGTCTTCTAAATAGAAGTCTTCTCACAGGTTTCCATACTAGGTGGCATTCCATAATGTGACAATTCTCTCCTTTCTCCACAGAAAAAGCTCCAAATGTTTCTTTAAAGAGAAAAAAAACCGATGGGAATGGACAAACAAAGTATTTCCGAAGTGAGTAAACTTACAAGTCATGTCATTTAATTATAACTGTCAATAAACTCTAATACAAGGAATAGGGCCAGTTGGTGAATGCTGCAAATTAGTGATTCAGATGTCATAGGACATGATTGAACTACAAAAGTTTTCCAAAGTTCCAAGGCTATGAAGAAATTCTTTTCTGTAGCATAACTTTCATATCCTGTCTGTAACAGTTTGAGCTACTGAAAACAAACCAAGTCCAGGCTTCGCTTTAGCTGTGTTGTTAATGAGCAGCCAGGACTATTTTTGATTATTAATCCTGATAGCAAACAGAACAACATGAATGAATACCAAAGTGACAGCTAACAGGCATTTTCAATCACAACCAAAACTTGACACAATGAACACAATTGATATCTACCATGCTTTGACCACACATTTAAACATCAATACAGCGAATTACTATCAGTTCTGTTGAAAAGCCTCTAACACCAAGATGGGTGCAACAAACTAATTTCGATTTGTCAATGATGCAATTCAACTAAATAAGAGAGTTATGTCTCTAAAACTATTAAATTTGGAAAAGAAACGACCTGTGTGTAATTGCTGATTGAGATGAAGCTATTTAGTGTATGTTGAACTTCTGTAGCTGTTTCTGCTTTACTTTCAACTTATAAGGAAATATATGGAAATACCTGTAGAACTTTATCAATATGTAATTTCTCCTAACATTGTCATTTAAAGCCTCCTCTTGCAAAAAGGGGCAAGATTGATTTTAAGGACAGAAAGTAACATTGAAACAATGTGGAAGTGAGAGAACACAACGGACGTTAAGACATCCAGCATTTCTAATTTTTTCTTGTCTTCTAAACGAAAGTCTGTTTGCAGGTTTCCAAACTAGGTAGCATTCCATAATGTGATATTTCTCTCCTTTCTCCACAGAAGAGGCTCCAAACACCTCTGTAAGGAGTAAAACAACTGATGGGAATGAACAAACAAAGTCTGTTCAAGGTGAGTAAACTTTAAAACATATGTCATTTAACCCTTTAACACCTAAGAGTGACTGGCATCTATTTTCTCCTTACAAGATCACCCCTGATTCAAACATTAAGGTCATGAGAATAAGGGGAATGATCAACAGCTAAAGAAGCTCTTTATTGTTAAATGAATTATCTTTTTCAGAACCCTAAGAAAAGTGTAGAGAAAGTATGGAGAATATGCATATTGATATTAGGGTGTAAAGGGTTTATTATAACTGTCAAAAAACTCTTATGCAAAGAATAAGGCTGGTTGGTGAATGCTAATAATTAGTGATTCAGATGTCATAGAATATGATTGAACTATAAAAGTTTTGCAAAATGCTAAGGCTTTGAAGAAATTCTTTTCTCTTTCATAACTTTGATATCCTGTCTGTAATACTTTAAGCAATTGAAAAGAAACCTTGTCTAGGCTTTGCTTTAGCTGTGTTGTTAACGAGCAATTGGGACTATTTTTGATTACTAATCTTGATAGCAAACAGAACAACTTGACCAAATACTAAACTGATGGCTAACGGGCATTTTCAATCACGACCAAAATTTTACACAATTGGCACAATTACTATTGTGCAAGCTTCGAACGCATGTTTAGACAACAACACAGTAGATTACTATCAGTTTTGGCGAGAAGTCTCTAACATAAGATCAAGAAGGGTGTAACAAACTAATCTCGATTTGTCAATTGCGCAATTTAACTAAATAAGAAATTTATGTTTTAAGAAGGCCCACATTGATAAAAGTTTTATGACTGAAACATTTACTAAGTCTAAATTGTCCCCTTCAAAGTTACTAGTTCCGTGACAAATCTCCTCTTTCTACACCCTTCTTGCATTATGTTGCCTTTCTTAATTTCTCTTGAAATTGTTTGATTGTAGGTGGCACTTTAGTGAGCTAAATCAACATATTAAACAAGAGTTCCAACCCCCCCCCCCCCCTTTTACCTTAATCGAATAGCAACAAAAATGGATGGATTATCAACATCATGAAAATACTGGGCATAATTACTCTTTTGTTTTTGTTTGCAGAATGTGGTGGCCAGTTGGCAGGTAACTTAAAAGGCAGTAAGCAAAATTTTCAATTGTCTGATGTTGTAAATATTCTCGTCTCTGTTACTGGTACCTGTAAGGTGATCTGTGTATTGCTTTATTCTGCATCACACAAATCACATGATTATCAGCTAATCTCTCTCTTTTAAGATCACTGGCATGAGGGTTTTTCTACTTAGTGTTATTGTCTCACAAATTAAAAAATTCATACAGCAATGCAAGGGCATCCTGCCATATTGTATCACAACTATTCGTAGGCGAGAGAGGGATCTTTGAGAATTTCCGTGAAATACCGAAACACCAACTGGGGTCTTCGTGCACCTCGTATACCTCAACTGTCATCCAAATGGTTTCTTTGGTGAAATGGTAAACAACCCTATCCTTGGCAAACCCCCTGCCTTTCTGTACTGCCAGGTAGGGGTGGGGAATTTGAACCAGAAGTGTTAAGTCTTTGCAATGAATTGCAAGTGCCATATCCTTAAATTTGGAGGTGTTCAATGTAAACAGTTCATTTTCGTTAGAGAATGGCTTGGGAAAAAAGGTTCTGCAAGGCTCAGGTTTTTATGCCTGATCAGTGTTTACGGTCGCTGATTTTTCCTTTTACCAAAGGAGGTAGGGAAGTTGAACACTTGAATTGATGGACGCACTACATGTATGCAACTCCTGGCGTGGTACTTTTAATTGCTTGATTTGTTAACAATATTTCCAACTCTTTAACTCCTTAACTCCCTAAATTCCTTTCCGATTATTTTAGACCCTCTGGAACACAAAATGAAAAGTAAAAATGCTATAGTATAATTTGCGTGGAAAATAATGGATATGAAGGTCTTAAAAGCGACCAAATAAGCCGAAAGCGGCTTTCGAGTCGACAACACTATGATTCTCTGAAGCGATGTGAATTGGGGCCGTAAAGTGAAAACCGAACTTTCGGACTTCAACAGAGGCCTAGCGACATTATGAAGGTTCCAAGGCCTGGTAAATATCATGTTTGAGTAATAAGATGTCCAAAAAGTATTATTTAATACAGGATTTTGTGTCAAAACGTAGAACTTTCAGAATTTTCAACATAACGCTGTGCAATTTTCAAGCCGTGAGGTTTATTTAAAATACCCTTTAAATTATTTCTGTATTGACATTACACTGCAAATGGCATCAGCTAATGTAGGCGGTTTGCATACTCACTTTGAAATCCGATCCGCATACTTGTTTGCCCACGTGCGAAGAAATTTACCGATTTCTATCTTTTATCCTTATTTTAGTGTAGAAACTTACATCTATGGTTTTTTTGTTGTAAGTAAGTTATTAAAATGGTCTGTTTTTACTGGAGCTTGGTTTTGGGAAAAGATGATTTATAAAAGTTTACTGCGCAGTGTGTTTGCCTTTCCGGTTTCTCCAAAATTTTAACTTTTGGGTAGGCACGCTTTACACACGGCTGTCTTTAAAAAAAGGACGGGGAATGGGGAATTGAGGGAAATGGGGAAAATGGGGGCACTGGGGGAATTGGGGGAATTGGGGGAAATGGGGGAATTGGGAATCTTTTATATGAGGAATCTTTAAAAGCGGGAATCTTTAAAAGGGGGAATCTTTAAAAGCAGGAATCTGCAGGGTTCAAAATAACAGCCGGCAGCCGAAACTTTTAGCACACTTGCCAGCGATTTTCCACCGAAGAACTAGAATTTTATAGAAAATATGCTTATGATTGTCCAACTGAAGTAAAATTCGCTGTCATGTTATGGTGAACATTTCATATCAGACAATGAAGCAGCTAAGAGGTGTTTTAAAACTTAATTGGAAACGTAAACAAGGGTTAATATGGACTAATATCGACTTCACAAATCGGAAAACGTTGTAGATCAGGCTATTCAATCAAAATTGTTAAAAGGGCCGCTGACTGACTTGTCATTCAGCTCAATCAAAAAAACAAATGTCGAGTGCCACATGCCATCCGCCAAAAACAGAATTGTTACATCGAGCAAACTTCAACCTTGAGGCGGGATTTCCACTGTCGCGTAGTTTTACTTGTGTCAACAGACCTGAATTTTAAGTGTTCACTGGCGTAAAATAGAAAAAAAGGGCAACTTTTCCACAGACCGCTCATACATTTGGTCGATTTCATTTCACGTTTTAAAAGATTCCCCGTTTTAAAGATTCCCGCTTTTAAAGATTCCCCGTTTTAAAGAATCCTGCTCTGAAAGATTCCCCGTATAAAAGATTCCCTGTTTTAAAGATTCCCCGTTTTAAAGATTCCCCGTTTTAAAGATTCCCCGTTTTAAAGACTCCCCGTTTTAAAGATTCCCCGTTTTAAAGATTCCCCGTTTTAAAGATTCCCCGTTTTAAAGATTCCCCGTTTTAAAGATTCCCTGTATTAAAACTGAGATTCCCCGTTTTAAGATCCCTGCTTTAAAGATTGCCCATTTTAAGGATCAGGGTTCAGAATTATTTTTCAGCTTTTAACGTGAATTTGTAAGCTGGGCGGGTTACCCCACCTTGACACGTTTACATGGCAAATTGTCACCCCGGCTGACAGGGTTACCCTACTTGGCAGACCGGGGTAGACCACCTTATCATGTAAACGTGACCAAAATAAAAAAAGAAATTATATGGAGAGGCGGGTTACCTCACCTACCTGGGGTCCCCTACCTCCATGTAAGCAGGCCCTTATTTGAACGCGTGAGAGGGCTTTACAAACGACATTAAACAGGATTTGGCGGAAAATAAATCTTGATGAAAGGTAGTATGTACGTGTAGAAACATAAACACGGTAATGTGACGGTGTGTACACAAAGTTACATGTTTCACGCTTAAACAAATACGTAGAAAGCTGAATACTGTGAAAAAGAACACTCCTTGTAGCACCCTTCAAATTTCGAAACTTTCTACTCGTGTACGTTTCAAAAAGGCCTGTAAAACATTTCTTAGCTGTCTTATTACCTAACATTAGATGTTCATCATAACATGACAGCGAATTTTACTTCAGTTGGACGATCATAAGCATAATATTTTCAGTAAAATTCTAGTCCTTCGGGGAAAAATCGCTGGCAAGTGAACTAAAAGTTAAAGATTCCCGCTTTTAAGGATTCCCCATTCCCCGTTGCCCGTTGCCCGTTGCCCGTCGCCCGTTCCTTGTTTTAAAGATAGCCGTGTCAACGGGCTAATTATTTTTCTTATTCTTGTAATTGATGCATCAGAGTGTATTATGATGATTAAATGTAGGTGGGTACTGATCGATTGACGGACTGACTAAATGACAAACGTACTGGCTCTTGTTGATTCTTGTTCCTCTCTAATTTCAGATGTAACCTCTATGTAAACTAATGTGTTATTTTCGCAAAACATAGCAGCTAATTTGAAAGACAGCAAGCGAAATGTTCAATGGTCATTGTTACTATGTTTAGTTTTCACTTAATTGTCAATATTCATTATTTCTTTCTGTGATAAATTTAAAAAATATGTGCTCACCAGCTTGTGACTCTACCTTGGTTTTTTAGACCCTGATTATGAAGACCATCTCCTAAAGCTCAAGATCATGGCCAAAGAGTTAAATGATGAACAGGAAAAAAAATTGAGTGACGAATTGATTCGTTATGCAACTACCTACTTGAAGAACAACAAAATGTCATCCTGTTTTTTTTCTATTTTGCAAGACTGTTATAACCTTGTGATGAAAACATACGGCTTGGGTTGTTTAGAGATAACAGTTCAGTGTCCGACCCTGGACAGCCTTCAACTTCTATGGAGAGACTTTCTTTCTGGTCACCTCGACAAACTTGCAGAAGAATACCTGGTGTCGAGCACGATCAAGACAAAACTTGACGTGGACATTGTTAAGTTTAAAGTGACTATCAAAGAGGAGGACTACTTAGCATGCAAGGCATCATTCTTGCAACATTCTGGTAAGTTTTTCCACATTTTTGTATTGGCGTTATATGATTTCTGAACATTTTAGAGAATGACTCGGAAAGGTCGCATTAGTTTTAAAATTGTCACACTCAAATGCATCTTGGGGTAAGAATATCTTGAATCACGACCATTTTATTGTCAGTTCTAGGAAACAAGAGTTGCCCTTGCTCAAGAATTTTGTTTTAATGAAAATGGTTGCATGTTGATGCAGGCCAATGTAAATGTTCATGCAAAATTCGTTCCTGAAATTAACATGCCATAACATGAATGTCATTACTGTTATTGAAGTTTATTCTTGCACAAATGGAAGTTCATCTGGAACTGATGAATGTCTAAAAATGCAAACTGGTCATTATACTGTAGATTGTTGCTGCTTATAAAGGAATCGTTAATTTATTTATTTTTATGTCTTTGTTTTAATGGATAATCAGACTGAAAGCCTAAAGATCATGATTTAAAATTGTATTCATTATTTGATTCTATATTTTTGTGTAAACGAATTATAATCTTCGGTGTAAGTGAAACCAGTTTCGCGCTATCAGTCTGAATATTTGCACAAATGGCAATGAATGTCCATGGTTACCCAGTTTACCTCGAATATTAACCTGCGCAACGTTTTAATGGAGAAAATAAGAGAATGCTTGGGAGCGATAATTATTATTAATATCACTGCAAGATCTATTTCACAACCTGCAACGGAAGAGATTGCAAATCGCGTGATTCGTTATCAATATCTCTCTTTAAAGATGAACATTGTGTTTCTTTTTTGTTATTGTTTTGTAATTGCTGAACTCTGCAATTTAACCCTTTAAACCTGGAGTGACTAACATCTAATTTCATGAAGGTCACAAGAATAAAGAAAATAATCACCAACTAAAGAATCTCTTGACTGTTAAACAAATTCTCCTTGTCAGCACCTTAAGAAGTTTATGATGATGTGACTTGTATAGAGAATATGCATACTGATGTAAGGGTTTAAATGGTTAAATAATGTATTCACTCATGTTTTTGCCCGTTTAATTCTGAGTGATTGTGTATAATTATGTCTATTTTTGTTTCAAATGAACATGAGAATAAGAGGTTCTCAACACTGACGGTTTTAGTATTCACCAATCCAAGTGTGAAACCCAACTGATTCAAAATGATTTAAATTCAGTGATTGGACGGTTGAAGAAAAACATATGCAGGTTCCTATTAAGGCTTGGCTAAGCTCCATTGTAAAAAATGCGCCCAAATATGTGTCTTCCTTTACATTGAGCTTTTTTTTGTTAATTAACAAATTTGTCTATGAATTGAATGCGAGACTCTGATTTATTATGGTTAAATTAAGAAACCTGAAGATCTAATACACTGAATATAAATTTCTTAGATGAAGCGATAAAACTTTTCTCCATTGGCTTCCTCCTCTCTTTCGTACCTGAAAACATTAGAGCAAAAGGGAGGCAGCACTATATTTAGATTCTGTCTGTGAGGATCCACTGCCATTGAACCCAGAGGCATGCCCTGGAGAACAGTTGTAGGTAAGGCAAGAAACGTGCAATTTATTCTCCAAGTGTCCCATTCGGTCCCTATATAGGTACAAATGCACGCAAGAACGAAGGTCTCTATGCTGGATACAAGGCTGATCGAATTTTATAATAAAGTTCGGATTTAACGCGCGCTGTCATTGGTTGAAAGAGCGTGCTCTATGAGAGTATAGAGCATAGAGCTGAGCTAAAGCTGTCACGCCATCTGCCAAATTGTACTATGTTCGACCTTTCCCGAGACTTCTTTTTAGCTTTTTTTTCCGATAATTGAAGAACAAGCGAGCCGGCAAGTAGCAACAGAAGAACCAAATAAAGGTTTGTAAAAATACCAGGCACCGTAATTTACTTTATTAAAACGTGAGCAGATACGAAAATCCTCAAAGGAAAAACAAAATAGACATTCCGACTTTTAAAGATTTATTCACGCTCAGTTAGATTGCAAGCTTACGTACGGAAATAAAAATCAAACACAGCTAACACTCATATAGTATTTGAAGTTCAGTGTTCAAAAACAAAACAGAACAAAACAGAAATGATGAAAAATATAACCAGACTGGCATAACTGTTAAAATTCATTCTAATCATGACGGTGTCTGAGCGAATATGATCATGCTGAAGTCCATCGCAGCTCGCTCATCATGGCGATCTCCGGTCATCACAGTAAAGCAAGTCTCAGAAACTATATCGGCCGCCCTTCGAGTGAAAAAATAAGAGCTTGCTCTGATATCCTTTCCGATGCTTTGAGTGGAAAGTTACTGCAGCCGAGTTTTGCCGTATCCCGAGCGATCTTCATGTTTCGGTGAATTCGGTCGTCATTCATTCAAAAAACACTCGCCTTGAACAGTTTGTTTTATACCTCGTCATGTGAAAAAACTCGCGTGTTTTTATGAGCCATAATTCGGCTGAAGTTTACTGAACATTTCACTGCATGATTCTGTATTAGAGACTTAAAAACTTCAGGCAAAAGTGTTAAATTCGACCTACCGAAGTATTTTAGTTTGTAAACGATCGCAGAAGGTGAACTTTGATGGTTTTTGAACTTTTGATGAACCATTCTAACAGGGATTCTGATTGGCTTATTGTAGCGTGCTTTATGAGAGTATAGAGCATGCTGACGACACTGTTCTTCGCTTTGGAAATAGAGTTTGTTTTGAAAATTGAAAGTAATGCTCGGGGAATTTAATTGAGTCTATATTATAAATTCAAGAAGTGAGCAAAAACACTCGACTACGTCTCGTGTTTCTCCCTACACTTCTTTCGTGCTCTAGCCGCTTCCTGCGTGCTTTGTAACAGAACAGAGCACAGTCAAGGCTTCTCTATTTGTTAAATAAAGCTGTTCTCCTCTAAAGCTAAAAGCATTATATATGTCTGCATAAGTCCTAATACACGGTACATGGCTGTTTATCAGTGCAGTGGCTGATAACTTCTGTGTTGTTGGCACATTCCATAATAAAAAATGCAGAATTTATTAAACAAGAGAATGGTAAACTTAGTGGACAGACCAGTTGTACCACTCTGATTATTACGGCTTTCCTTTGTAGTTGCACTTCTCCTCAAAGAATGAACTGATCAAAAATTATTAGACACAGTCATTAGCAAAAAAAAAAGTGTCGAGAACAATAAATGCTAAATCTTGTACCAAAAACAAACCCTCAGGGTAGTCAGGGCACAAACAATATTGATTTGACAATTTTGTGTTTATGTCTTATTCAAGCATAAACGCAAAACATTCAGCCATAAGCCGAGACCCATTTCTTAAAACGTATAAGAGCTCATGAAAAATTTTAGGCACATTTGGCTTTTTAAATCTGTTAAAAGGAAATGAAAGAACGGGTTAAGTGGCGATCTCTGTAAGAGCGGTCCAGGGCATTTCACATCGGAAAAAAGTTTTCCCTCAAACTTTGCCCAATAAACTGTCTTTAGTAGCAAGTAAATAAAACCACATTAGTTTCTGGAAATGCGTTAAAATAAAATTTTTAGAGCTTTCAAAAGTCAAAGCTGCAAAAGGCCTTTTTCTTGACCCCTTGCGACATCGAAAATTTCAAAAGTTGAATAGCTCGGTCCTCGTATCACACCGCATGCAGCAAAAAAGCTTTTGTATTTTTAAACTGTGTGATATGTTAGGTGTATAAAAAGCATTTCAATTTTGATATTCGTTTTTTCAGAGGTTCATCATAATTTATTTAAAAATACTCGTTTGACAGCTTTCTGAAATTGGTCAAAAGTACTCTTTCTTTCTTGGTTGATATTGCTCAAGTCCAGACCCGACCATTGAAAAATCTGCTGGAATTCTTCCAATAAGATGTTTTGCTGCAGAAAAATATAGAAATATCTTGCACTTATTAATTTTGTTCGCCGTGGTGACTTCAAACTTTTAGCGATTTTGCTAACGTGGCAGCTGATTATGCAAATTAGTTCATTAAGCAAACTCCGACCGTTTTGTATAAGTAGCTCAATAAATCTAAGATTTTAACCATTTTAAGTTGAAAAGATAGTAGGACAGAGCTTTTAGACTACACCGATTGATACTCTAAACATTTCAAAAGGCCAGAATTTGACAAATTATACTATCTCGTGACAAAAGACGTCAACAACAGTGAGTAGCGCTCGCTCAACATGTTAATGGCAAACTCTTTTTTCGGTTACATTCATTAAATCTTTAAACCAAAGTAGCATCAAACCATGTCAGATTGTCCACCTGGTTGCCTTGTTAACTTAAAAATAGTTTATCATAGTTTCCTTATCTCACAAGATCATGGCCTTCAATTCGCTGTATTGTCAATGGCTTGTACAAGAATATGTCCGGAGTGATTCACGTGATTTTCCGTGATCGTCAACCAGATATAAGCCATTAACGATACCACATTGCGTATGTAATGATAGAATCAGAAAGGGAAAAGAATTGAGCGCTTGAACTTTTTGCACCTTAAGATGTGAAAATATCATTGCATATTATTGTTTTGATCCTACGTGGTTGTCCTGACTGAACGCACAGAGTCACTTGCAGGGTTTGAATAAATTATTGCTGCCCTTGATGTGTGCCTTTGCTTCTGCATAATTATGATAAGCTATCTCGTATTTTTTCATGTTTATTGTTAATACGTAATCACATGATTTTGCTCGTGCAATTTGTAATAAAGATAACAAAAAATAAAAATTTTGTTACTCTTTAAAAAAATTTACTCGTGCCCATTTATCCCAAATTGCTCCCAAAATCGTGTGATTACCTGTACTAATAATAATATGTGCATTTGGGGTTGTGAGTTTTGTCTGGCTTTTGAACATGTAACTGTTTGGTTTACGTTGGAGTATTGAAATAAGTCTTCTTAACCTAAACTTATTGTTGCACGTGCAGCTCCATATGATTCAACAGAAAAAGCACAGAGAAATACAAAAGAAGCTTTGGCAGCAGCAGGTACAGCTGTAAAAGGTATATACCACCTTCCTATCAGCAATTTATGTATTTCAACCAATATGAAATATGAAGGGGGAAGGGGGGTTGGGCAATTGAAAAGAAACCTAGTCGAGGCTTTGCTTTAGTTGTGTTGTTAACGAGCAATTGGTACTATTTTTGATTACTAATCTTGATAGGAAGCAGAACAACTTGACTAAATACTAAACTGATGGCTAATGGGCACTTTCAATCACGACCAAAATTTGACATAATTCACACAATTAATATTGTGCAAGTTTCGACCACATGTTTAGACAACAATACAGCAGATTACTATCAGTTTTGGTGAGAAGTCTCTGACATAAGATCAAGATGGGTGTAACAAACTAATCTCGATTTGTCAATTGCATAATTCAACTAAATAAGAAATTTGTGTTTTAAGAAGGCCCACATTGATAAAAGTTTTATAACTGAAACATTTACTAGAACTAAATTTTCCCCTTCAAAGTTACTAGTTCCGTAACTACTCTCCTCTCTCTGCACACATCTTGCATTATGTTGCCTTTCTTAATTTCTTTTCAAATTGTTTGATTTTGGCTGGAAATTTTGTGAGCTACGTCCACATATCCACATGTGTGCCTTTGCTTCTGCATAATTATGACAAAAGAAGCTTTGGCAGCAGCAGGTACAGCTGTAGAAGGTATATACCACCTCCCTATCAGCAATTTATTCCAAGGAAAACGATCCAAGTGTTGCACCTCCACGATGACCTGACCGCCTTCTGTTTCTCACTGCCTTCATCATTTAAACCTATTTAAGGCCTTCGGGTCTATTGAGACCTATGTTAGGATATGTTTGTTTAGGTTATGGTGCTCTGTGGAATGTAGGAAGGGGGGAGGGAAACATTTCTTAAGAATGATCCTCCAACTGTGACGGGCGATTTTAATATAAATTTTTTACTTCAATATAAATCTCCCGTAAGCATAGCTTAACGGCCGATAATAAGGAATAACCTAAAGGCTGGTCTTCATCTACAACGGAGTCGAAGTCGTTATTGAGAAATGCAGAGCAGTACGATCAAGTTGAAATCAAACTTGTTTGATCTTCCACTTCTGTCTTCAACTCCAACAATAGACTTTTCACGGTTCAAAGCGGAATCGGACGAAACCATTCTCATTTTTCCGACTCTGATCCTGTACTTTGATTCTGTTGAGCTTATGACTCCGCTCATGACACTGATTTTTAGTTTTCACTCAGTCGGAAGTGCTCTAACGACTCCGACTGGGACTGCGATTCCGTTGCTAATGTAGAACAGCCTTAAGACAACTTGAAGAGAAGGATATCCCGATAAGATCATCTGCTTTTTTTCCATATTTGAGAGATAAATCTTGGGTAAGGGCTGGAAAAGCTTTTGCAATAAAATTCATCGAGCTACAAACACATTTCTTAGGTTTCCTATTAAACCACTGGTTAATAAAAAAAAAAAGTATCTACATTTGATTGTAGGGATATTTGAATAGAATTCAAATTGGAAAGTTGAAAGCAAATGAAAATGTTAATTTCAAATGAGGAAAGAAACTTTTTGTCCGATAATGATCGCTATATTAATTCTATTTTCCTCTGAAAAAGGTTTGTTTTTTCACATTGGTGGGTAGGTGACAATTTGCAAAGTACCGAAAAGTTAGAGGCGAAGGACAAAGCTGGCGAAGGACAAGCTTTTCGGAATCTTGGCATTGGCTATAATGACCTATGCGATTTTCATAAGGCAATCGAGTACCATGAGCGTGACTTACAAATTGCAAAAGAAGTGGGGGATAAAGCTGGAGAAGGACGGGCTTATGGAATTCTTGGCATTGCCTATCACAGCTTAGGCGATTTTCATAAGGCAATCGAGTACCATGAGTGTCACCTACAAATTGCAAAAGAAGTAAGGGATAAAGCTGGAGAAGGAGGGGCTTATGGAAATCTTGGCATTGCCTATCACAGCTTAGGCGATTTTCATAAGGCAATCGAGTACCATGAGTGTCACCTACAAATTGCAAAAGAAGTGGGGGATAAAGCTGGAGAGCGGGCTTATGGAAACCTTGGCAATGCCTATCACAGCTTAGGCGATTTTCATAAGGCAATCGAGAACCATGAGTGTCGCCTACGAATTGCAAAAGAAGTGGGGGATAAAGCTGGAGAAGGACGGGCTTATGGAAATCTTGGCAATGCCTATCGCAGCTTAGGCGATTTTCATAAGGCAATCGAGTACCATGAGTGTCACCTACAAATTGCAAAAGAAGTGGGGGATAAAGCTGGAGAAGGACGGGCTTATGGAAATCTTGGCAATGCCTATCGCAGCTTAGGCGATTTTCATAAGGCAATCGAGTACCATGAGTGTCACCTACAAATTGCAAAAGAGGTGGGGGATAAAGCTGGAGAAGGACGGGCTTATGGAAATCTTGGCATTGCCTATCACAGCTTAGGCGATTTTCATAAGGCAATCGAGTACCATAAGTGTCATCTACAAATTGCAAAAGAAGTGGGGGATAAAGCTGGAGAAGGACGGGCTTATGGAAATCTTGGCAATGCCTATCACAGCTTAGGCGATTTTCATAAGGCAATCGAGTACCATGAGTGTCACCTACAAATTGCAAAAGAAGTGGGGGATAAAGCTGGAAAAGGACGGGCTTATGGAAACCTTGGCAATGCCTACCACAGCTTAGGCGATTTTCATAAGGCAATGGAGTACCATGGGTGTCGCCTACAAATTGCAAAAGAAGTGGGGGATAAAGCTGGAGAAGGACGGGCTTATGGAAATCTTGGCAATGCCTATCGCAGCTTAGGCGATTTTCATAAGGCAATCAAGTACCATGAGCGTGACCTACAAATTGCAAAAAAAGTGGGGGATAAAGCTGGAGAAGGACGGGCTTATGGAAATCTTGGCATTGCCTATCACAGCTTAGGCGATTTTCATAAGGCAATCGAGTACCATGAGTGTTGCCTACAAATTGCAAAAGAAGTGGGGGATAAAGCTGGAGAAGGAGGGGCTTATGGAAATCTTGGCAATGCCTATGACAGCTTAGGCGATTTTCATAAGGCAATCGAGTACCATGAGTGTCGCCTACAAATTGCAAAAGAAGTGGGGGATAAAGCTGGAGAAGGATGGGCTTATGGAAATCTTGGCAATGCCTATCACAGCTTAGGCGATTTTCATAAGGCAATCGAGTACCATGAGTGTGACCTACAAATTGCAAAAGAAGTGGGGGATAAAGCTGGAGAAGGATGGGCTTATGGAAATCTTGGCAATGCCTATCACAGCTTAGGCGATTTTCATAAGGCAATCGAGTACCATGAGTGTGACCTACAAATTGCAAAAGAAGTGGGGGATAAAGCTGGAGAAGGACAGGCTTATGGAAATCTTGGCCATGCATACTTTCTGCTTAAAGATACGTCTAAAGATCGAGGATCATTTTCGAGTGCCCTTGATTGCTTTAGTTCCAGTTTGTCAAAGCTCGATGAAATTAGGGCTCATCTCCGGTTTAAAGACGAGTGGAAAATTAGCTACCGCGATACGTATAATAATGTATACAATAGTCTGTGGCGTCTCCATTTAAGCCAAGGTGAAGTTAATGATGCCTTGCGTGTTGCTGAGGATGGACGGGCGCAGGCTCTAAAAGATCTCATGGAAGAAAATTATGGGTGTCAAGAGGTATACTCTTGGTCTCATTCCTCAGAAGTGTCAACTGGTCCCTCTCCTAGATCCATTCCTTCGACAACAGTTTTCATAGCTCTCAATGAACAAGAAATCATTTTCTGGGTTATAAGGAAAGACGAAGAAGTCACCTTGAGGAGAAGAAAGGTAGGAGATATTTCAGAAGAAGATGTGAGAGCTTTCCTTAAGACTCTACACAGTACTGCCTTGGACGAAATTGGTGTACGTGCTGGCGTCAAAATCGAAAATCGCTCGCTTGATGAGTCACGCGAGGCGGGGCGCACGACTGAAAGGGCCCCTGTCAGAGTTTCTCGGCCTGTTTCATCAAAGGAGAGCTTAAAGAGGTTTTTTGACCTTATAATTGCTCCTATTGCTGACCTGGTCCATGGAGATGACCTCATTCTTGTTCCGGAAGGTCCATTATGTTTGTTACCCTATGCAGCACTGATGAACCCAAAGGAGGAGTATCTGTGTGAGTCTCTGAGGATCAGATTGATTCCGTCCTTGACTACTTTGAAATTAATTACTGACTGTCCAGCTGACTTCCACAATAAGACAGGCGCACTTCTCGTGGGAGATCCGTACCTAGAGGAAGTTCTCTATAAAGGGAGAAAGTTGTGTGAGCTGCCATATGCAAAGAAAGAAGTAGAGATGATTGGAAGAATCCTAGGAACGGCTCCCCTCATTGGAAAAATGGCGACTAAAGGAGAAGTCTTAAAGCGACTATCCACGGTTGCTTTAGTGCACATCGCCGCACATGGCAAAATGGATACAGGAGAAATTATTTTGGCCCCAAACCCTGCTGAGGAATCCCATCATCCTGAGGAGAAAGACTTTTTGTTGACGATGGCGGATGTGTTGGAAGCTAAGCTGCGGGCAAGGTTGGTTGTGTTGAGTTGCTGTCATAGTGCTCATGGAGAAATAAAGGCTGAGGGAGTGGTTGGTATTTCTCGAGCATTTTTAGGTGCTGGGGCTCGGTCCGTTTTGGTGTCCCTCTGGGGAATTGATGACGAAGCCACTTTCCGGTTCATGAAACATTTCTATAAAGAACTAGTTAAAGGAAGGAGGGTCAGTGAAGCTCTTAACCAAGCCATGAAATGTATGAGAGAGTCTGAAGAGTTCGGGGAAGTAAAGTACTGGGCACCATTTGTTCTCATTGGGGATGATGTCACTCTGGAGCTAAATGGAACTGATTCAGTCTAGTCGCCGCTGAATGTAAATATAACTTGTTTTGATATTTTCCTTTAATGCTCTTAATACTCTTAAAGTGCTAAGTCTTGACGTCAAATTTTACACACTTCATTCATCTGCATTCTCTATTGCAATATGACTCTCTTGCAAACCCACCCAAATTTCATTTCATTTCAAGCCACAGGAGTTATATTTGTGGACTGTTTCATACAAGATTTTGCGGCCGCCATTGCTTGGCTTTGCTCCAGAACCTGATTGCGATTTCATAGGAATGGGCGTTCAAGGATGAACGCAGAAAACTTACCTGACTAACTCTAATAAGGTGA